CTTTTCATATGATAAAAATTACTGAATTATGCAGGGATTTTTCTCTATGCAAAAACAATACCAGTATTTTATTCATAATATTTATAAACATCGTTGATATTATAAATTCCCATACTCTTTTAATTATTTGATCTTCCAACATTTTATTAATGTTTTGTTTCACCTGTTGCCGATATTTATATGGGATCTGTTTTCCTCATTTATTAAAGTTTCGTGTTCTTTTAACATCAGACACCCCTCATTTTCTTTTTCTTCTCCACATATCAATTTTTTTCTTTTTCCTCAGATTCTTGATACATATTTATCGCACATTCTTCCTCCTCTTTTTCATCAATCTCTTCCTTAAATACCACTGTTTCAATCATATCCTTTTCGTTTTCCTTTGTTGCCATTTTTTCTTCTTCTTCTTCGGGGCTCATCTCTTCTTTTGAGGAATCCCTGGTATTGACTTCCTTTATCCTTTTCTTAAGTTTTCTTCCTTTTCTTCTTTGTCTTTGCTTCGTTGCCAAATTCATTTCCACTGTTTGTTCTTTTTCCGAATTACCAATTTTCTGTTTCCCATGTTCATTTTTCTGTTCTTCTTCTTTTTCTTCTGTTAGTTTTATCGTTTTATTTTTGAAATTTATGACTACATGTTTTTCTGCCAGTTCGTCCACTCCTACAATCATGTCATGCGACATATTTGGCATTATTACACATTTTAATGCATACATTTTCTCATCCAATCGTATCCTCACTCGTATTCCTTCATTTATCGTTGTCAGTGTCCGTTTATTTGCACCCACCAAATTTACCCTGGGTATTTTGTAAATTAAATTTGTCAAACTCACTTCTTCTATTAATTTTCTGTTTACCAATGTTATTTCTGAACCGGTGTCTATCAAATATTTGATTGGTCTATTTTTGATGAAACCATATACAAATTTTAAATTAACTCCTCTTTTTTCCTCATTATTTCCTGTTAATTTAATAAATTCCTTCGGGTGACAAAAAATTCCTGCCTGGTTTTTTGGTTTAGTGGGTGCTTTCGTGAAAAACCGACTGTTGTTCTTCCGTATTTCTTCTTTCATCGCTGTGTCTTTCATCCTCATTTTCTTCTATTTGTGTATGATTTACCTCTCTTCTATTTTCTTTTGGTCTGTCATATCCGTTCCGGTTTCCACGATATTCCTGTTCATTTCGTCTATTGTAATTTCTGTTTTCGGGATATGCGCGTGTGTTATTTCTGTTGTGATCTTCTCGATATCTGTCCTCATTCCATGGCCGATTTCTGAAATCATCATTTCCTCTTCTGTTTTCCCTATTTTCGTTTTCCCTCCTGGGAATAAATTCTCGTCTAGTGTAATTCCTCCTAAAATTTTGTCCTCTCTCTATGTATTCCTGAGTTTCTCGGTGTCTGTAATTTTCTTGTGACCTTCTTGCTCTTCTTTCCTGCATCCGTGATGCCCTTATTGGTAGTAATTTGCATAAACTATCGATGTCTTTGTAGTTTTGTAGATTGATTTGGTCTTCAATTGTGTCATCAAAGTGTCTTGCAATCAACTCTACTAATTGCTCGGATGAATAATTGTAACATTTGCAATGCGTATGTTTTTTCTGATATACCCATCCTCTCATGGTATTTCCCATTTTGCAACTCCTTGTTTATCTGTAATTGCTCTGTCTTTCCCCAAAAAAAATTCAGAAATTTATTTTCAAATTGACATCTTGCTCTATAGTTGTCGCAGTTTACATGTTCTCTTTTTTTGTATATTGGCACGATGATATTGTTTTGCCAGTCTTTAGGGATTGTTTGTTTTTCCCACTCCTCTTTATATATTTTCCATAGCCAGTTTATTCCTTCTTCTCCCATGTATTTTACCATTTCCCGTTAAATTTCATCATCTTCACCTGCCTTGCCTGTTTTTATATTTGATCATCCTTCTATTACTTCTTCTCTACTTATTTGCTCTAGCTCTGTGTGTTCTTCGCCTTCATTGATTATATTGTCTTCCTTTATCACTTCGATATCAAATTTTTTCTCATAATATTCTTTCCATACCCTAGCTACTTGTTCTGGGCTTCTTTGTATTTGGTTTGAAGTATCTCTTACTGCATTTAGTTCCTTTCGTTTTCCTTGCCTTATGTGTTATCATGGACTCAAAGAATGTCAAACGTAGACGTAACTAGAAGAATAAGAAATGAAGCGGAAATAATAGTAACTATCAAAAGAAGAAAACTTGAGTACTTATGACATATTAAGGCTTTTCTTGTATTGTGTTACATCCTACTTAATGGCTACGTATGGATAAGCATTTATATACAAAAATATGCCCTTCTTCTTATAGTTCCGTGCACCTATAATGCATTGACGAATTATCTTCAGGCCATAATATGTATAATTATGGACAATTATAAAAGCATATTTTCTTAATTCGGTCCTAAGCTCATAAGTCTATAAGTAATAATAATAAATAATAATAACGTTTATTTCCATGAATTATATAATTAATAATATTACAATAAAATAATTAAATGACAATAAAATTTTAAAAAATATTACTTTTACTTTGTAGTTCTGTAATTGGTTCAAGGTAAATAAACAGTAGTGCCCATTAAAACAATTAAGTTGAGCATGGGCCATTTTTTAAATTGCTTATTTATATTGATCCTACAGCAAGGCGAGTTTTACTACTTTATTAGTTACACTTATACCTATATTAAGATAAAACAAAAAAATAACAAAAAAATTTTTATTAATTAATTAACAAGAGAGAGACAATTCATGCATACAATCAACCAAGATAATAGCATATATAAATTTTTAAGATTTCGTAATCTATTCTTGATTTGACGTTAGTTATAACCTAATTGGTCTCAAAAAGGTGGCTGAACAGTTGTCTATGATTTTGTTTCAAATACCTAGTAAACAATGTCTTAATCATTTTTTGCGAGTTTATAGTGATTAGGTATGTTTTGTAAATTTCAGGGAGCAAATTGTAGATTCTTCCTTGTAAATACTCAAAATTTCGTTTACCAACTGTTTTCTTTGCAATATTTAATTTGACAAAAGACTGTGCTCTATTTCTCGTATGATAGGTATGCCCTAATGGTGTGAGTAAGTGTTTATTTTTGGATAAATTGGTGATTATTGTAAGAATATATAACTGTCTTGCATCTAACATTTGAGTTTCGGTATAAAGATCATTAGTAGGGTATCTCGAAGGCCTATTGTAAATAATTTTTAATATTTTTCTTTGGATAATGTCTAATTGGTGGAGGTATGTATTTGCAACTCCACCCCAACTAAGGATTCCATAACGTAGACGCGATTCTACCAAAGAATAGTAAATAACCTTCAGATGATGGATATCCAGTATATTACGTAAATATCGCATTTTGTACAATAGACATCTCAATGTTTTACACGTTTGGTTTATGTGTATATCCCATCGTAGATACGAGTCGATTTGAACACCAAGGTATTTTGTGTTACTCACTGCATTAATACTCAGATTTTTTATTTTTATAAATTTGTAATCTGGTAGACCTCTCTTATAGCTTGTAAATGGAACATAAACTGTCTTATCCATATTTACTGTAAGGAGTTTGTGGTTAAATATATCAATAATTATTCCTAAGTCATGTTCCATTTTTCGCTTTAGTTCCATCCACGTGTCTGCAGAGTACAAAATTGCTGTATCATCTGCAAAACTTAATATCTCACCTTCACTCCGGTAAGTAAGAATATTGTTTATGTACAGTATAAATAATATGGGTCCTAGTACAGTCCCTTGTGGTATACCAAAATTTATGCTTTTAGCACTACTCAATTTTCCTTCTAGTCGCACTCTTTGATATCGATTTTTTAAGTAGCTTTCCATTAAGTTAAATGTGTTTCCTCTTATACCAATGTCTGCTAATGTATCTAATAGTTGTGAGTGACTAACCGTATCGAACGCCTTTGCCAGGTCTAGGAATACACAAGCTGTTGGTGTACTGCTGTCAACTAAGTTGTAAATTTTGTTAGATAGGTACGATATTGCATTTTCTGCGGATACTCCCTCCCTAAAACCATATTGTTTGTTTGAAATTAACTTATATTTTTCTAAGTATAATACTAGTTGATATTTTATAGCCTTTTCCAATATCTTGCAAAGTGAAGTGATTAGTGAGATTGGTCTGTAATTATTTGTTAATTTTGGATCGCCTTTCTTATGAATGGGAATCACCACTGTTTGCTTAAGTTGTTCGGGCCATTTGCCGCTAGAAAATACATTATTTAATAAATAAGTAATGGGACCAGTTAGTATTGGCGATAGTTCTTTAAGTACTTCAGATTTAATACCATCTATTCCTGGAGCTTTGTTCGATTTTAATGAGGCTATAATCTGAACAACGTCATTTTCATCCACAGGTAATAAAAAGAAGGAATTTATTGTAACGTTTCTCTTTGGTGGTCGAGAAGGAGGTTTTATTATCTTCTGAGCATATGATTCTCCAACTTTTGAAAAATATTTGTTAAATTCCTCGGCGATCTCATTTGTGTCGGTAATACTTTGGTTATTTGCAGTAAGTATTTTTTTGATATTTTGAGTATTAACATTTTCACTATTATAGTTATTTACTATTTTCCACATATTTTTTGAAGACTTATTATTTTTCATAATTTCTTTTATAAAGTAATTTTTCTTTGTCACCTTAATAAGTGTGTTCAATTGTTTACGGTACTCTAGGTAAGCTTTCCTTTTTTCTTCATTTGTTGGGTGATTTATGTGATCTTTATACAGTACTCCGGTACTCCAGTGTAAAGTACTCCAGTGAAATACCCTAGGGCGACCACAAAATATCCCTTTCTTAAAAAATTCCTGCTACGTTATCGTGAGGTGGTAAATAAGCAAATATTATATCGTTACATATGAAACTTCTAATTATTTAAATTTTTTTAAATTCTAACTTATTTATTGTGAAGAGTAAATTTTTAAAATCTATTTTCTCAAATTTTGTTGGAGACTTGAAACATGACTTCAACTACACCGACTAACATAAAGAACAATGAAACTAATAACAACAATGACAATGAAAGCAAGAGTAAGATTAAACCTTATCCATACAAAATTCAATCGGTTGAGGAAAATATTACGAAGGAATTGTTAGGTGCATTCACAGGTAAGTGTTTTCTCATTTATTATTAAACATTTCCATTTTAGTATGATTTTATAGTATAAAAATTAATTTAGTTAACTGTACCTTAAAAATAACTGATTATATTTAAAATAATAGTCCCGTCCTCACAGATTTGACTTCTCAAGATCATACGAACGAGCTGAGAATGTCAATTTTGGAACCACAAAATGATGCAAAAGAGGTTACTAATTCTACCCCGAACTTTCCCGTAAAACATCGATTTAACAACAATCTTTTACAACGTAGAAAATATATATTATATATATATATATATATATAAGGTGAAGTGGGGTAAATGTGATCTACTTTTTGATTAGTTCAACTTTCATTTATTATAACACTGTAAAGAAACGTTTCAAAAATTTATCAAAAAAATCATATACTTTTTGAACGGTTTTGTATTCATTGTGTAGAAAAAAATTAAATAAACTTTAGTGTTGTTAATGTTGCATGATGTTTTTTAAAATCATATCAATATATCACATTTACCCCAGGGACTGGGGCAGATGTGAAAAAAGTTTACATTTTTTGTAGTAAATATTATATTTGATAGTCTGGGGTTATTATTGTATAAAAACGTAATTCTAGCTCTCTACTTGTGTTTTTTTAGAATTTATTTTGTTGAAAAAATACAAAAGAATTTAAAATTTTCGAAAACAATGTCAGAACAAAGGAAACAAAAATATAATAAAATTAAACAAACACTCCAAAAGAATTTAAGGATGATACTGGGCCTGACATTATACGAGAAGAAATTGAATATGCAATGAAACAAGCTAAAGATGGTAAATCTCCCGGGCCTGATGAAGTTCCTATCGAATTACTTAAAATTGTGAATACTGAATCTATTGATCTTCTATTGGATCTATTCAATACCATATATAGAACAGGTATAATACCTAAAGAATGGCTCCAATCAACATTCATACTGCTTCCCAAAAAAGCCAATGCAAAGGAGTGCAATGAACATCGCACCATAGCCTTAATGAGTCATGTCTTGAAATTGTTTTTAAAAGTAATTCACAATAGAATACATAAGAAATTAGATGAAGGCATAAGTAATACACAAATGGGATTTAGGAAAGGACTGGGAACACGAGATGCACTGTTTGCAATAAGTGTTCTTTCGCAGAGTTGCTTAGATATTAATCAGGAAGTATATGCCTGTTTCATTGATTTTGAAAAGGTATTTGACAGAGTGCAACATAATCGACTTAAAGAAATTTTATTAAATAAAAACATAGACAGTAGAGACATTAGAATCATCTGTAACCTCTATTGGAATCAAACAGCAAAAGTGAAAGTTGAAAACGAACTGACCAAGGATATCCAGATTCGCCGTGGGGTCCGCCAAGGGTGTATTTTATCACCCTTGTTATTCAATTTATACAGTGAAGCCATCTCAGAATTAGCGCTTGCCGAGATCAGTGAGGGCCTTATAATAAACGGTGAGCCACGTAATAACATAAGATATGCTGACGACACCGTCCTTTTGGCAGGAACACTAGAAGAACTGCAACACCTTGCTGAACAACTAAATATATATTGCAACGATTATGGACTAAAAATCAATTTGAAGAAAACAAAGTTCATGGTATTTACAAAAGCACAAAACATCAAAGTTAAGCTAGTACTAGACAATACAGAAATTGAACAAATATCTTCGTACAAATACCTTGGAGCATGGATCACAGAAGATACTGATCAGACAAAAGAAATAAGATGCCGCATTGAAATTGCGCGGTCAACTTTTAATAGAATGAGAAAACTTTTTTGTAATCGCGATATCAATATATCGCTCCGGATAAGAATGCTTCGATGTTATATTTTCTCTACTCTTTTGTATGGAGTTGAAGCTTGGACACTTAAAAAATCCAACATTAAAAACCTAGAAGCATTCGAAATGTGGTGTTACCGACGCATTTTGAAAATATCATGGATGGATCGCAAAACAAACGAACAAGTTCTTGAACAACTAGGAAAACAATGCGAAGTTTTAAATTCCATAAAGATCAGGATATTGGAATACTTGGGGCACATCATGAGAGGTGAAAAGCACGAACTACTAAGGAATATAATGCAGGGTAAAATCAAAGGTAGAAGAAGCGTAGGAAGACGTAAAATCTCGTGGCTACGCAATCTCCGTGAGTGGTTTGGATTCAGTTCAATTGAACTATTCAGGCGAGTAACCAATAAAATTATAATTGCCAGAATGATTTCCAATCTCCGATAGGAGTGGAACTTGAAGAAGAAGAAACACTCCAAGTTAAAGCCTTTAAAGGTAACTGGAAATTCGTACATTCCTCGTCTGTCGATAGGATCTGGTAGTACTTTTATAATATCCTGTTGTAGTACAGTATCAACGTCAGAATTTATTGGCCATACAAATTTGTTTCCTTGAGGTCGTGTAAATTTAACTATCCATTCATCATTAATATTTTCTGATACAATTCCCACATAATGCTTGTTTATCTTTTTTTGGGCAATATTTTACCAATACCCAACATCTGACATATACATTCACACTTTTTGTTGAATTCAAATTCTCTTTGTCTTCCTCGTCATCATTTGCAGTTATTTCTACCTTTGGCTCTGATTCCAAAAGTGTATCCAGAAATTCGTCGGTGTTATCAGAATCCATGAATATTGGGGAAATTGACACATCGTCTTCGCTGCTGCTAAATGATAATAACTCTCGTTTATTTCTTTTTTTGTTCTTGGTCTTAGTTATCTTATGAATTTTAGTACCGTTTTCTTATAGGGCATAATCGTTTCTTATTTTTGGTTGGTGCGTTTGGAAGTTGTTTTACTGTTGATAACAATAAATCTTCAATTGTTACATTCATATTTTCAGTTAAACTTGTACATGGAATTGATTCAAGTTCGTTGACTCTGGCAGAGATATTTTTTACTTTGTCGGAAGTGGTAGTTTCGATTAGAGCATCAGGCGTAGGTTCTTTATTTTGATAAAATACTTCTTGAGTTACTTTAGTTGGTACCAATACTTCATTACCATTTCATGTAGAGATAATTTGGAATATTTTATCATCTTCCACTTATTAAGCAAGCAGGGTGGAAATGGTATTTCAGGGATGACGTGACGATTAAAAGGAATAATTCCGCCTTTTTTAAAGCCGTTGATAAGTTGATAATTTCTTCGGAGTTCACCTGTTTTCAAGTTGTACACAAAAATTGGAAAAATATTTGTTTTGGTAATTTTTGGCCTACATGCTGCCGCTGCCAGGCAACAAGTTTTTCATCCCATTTAACTTTAAAGGATTTAAAAACAGCCAGGTCTAATGGCTGTAAAAGGTGGCTGGAATGGGGTGGCAGTTTTAGAATTATAATATGTTCTCGTATAGCGGCTTCTAACATCTCGATATTCATATAAGTGGAACGTCCATCATAATTAATTAATATTGGTCTTTCAGATGGAAGTGATGGAATTATAGTGTTTATGAAGTCATTTTTAAAAATGGCTTCTTCCATCTAACCTTTTTTTGTCGCTGCATAAAGAGTACCCTCAAAATCAGTACCTGGTGGAGCTATCAATTGATCCTATAAGTGCAAAACTTTATAAATTATTAATGGTGAAGCTTTTGGCCAGCTGCATTACACATAAGAGCAATTGTTGTATTTTCTTTACCAGAAGCTATTGTTCTTGATGAAGGTATATTTATACCTCCCACAACTTTTGTCTTCCTGGGGTCAATGCACAAGCTACTCTCGTCCAAATTCCAAATTCTCTCAGGTTTATCGTGAAGACCATATTCGTCCATTATTGATTTTAATAAATCAAAAAATTGGTAGATTATAAAAGAATCAAGAGCCTTTTTTCGAGAGTATTCTACGTTTTGTGGAACTTTAATACTTAATCTATACCTCTGTTTAAACTCCAAAAACCAATCTTCGCCTGTAACTTCATCCCCATCCTTAAAATTAGTTTCAATATGGTTAGTCTTTACAAAGTTTCCTACAATTTCTAATACTTCTTTCCTTGATAGGCCGTATCCCCATTTCTCCATCGTTTTTAGACCATTGGCTTATAAATGGGCAAAATATTCTTCTTGCTTATTCTTCTTTTTAATAATCGTCTTTCTTATAATCTTATTTTTTCTTCTCTTAATCTCCAATCACCATATAAATATTATAATTTTAATTTCTTCTAATCTCCATATACATAATATAATTTTTAATCTCCATATAATACACTTTTAATACTATAAAACTTTGAATCACTGATTATTGCATACTGTACTGTATAATTAATACTCTAATACTGATCACTGTTATATCTACCATGATACTATGAATAACAAGATAGGATCTTCCCGTATCACAAAATCGGTCGTGTTCGCGCATGCCGTCATTGGAGAGTAGAATGTGAATTCTTCTTAATGTTAAATGGGATTTTTATGTATTCTGTGATGAAATTACTAGACGAAAATGAGTTAAGTGGTTCAATAATTGTACACATAAGGATATCTCCAAACTATTTATTAAAGATTATTTATTGACACATACAAAAAACTGACATTTCGAACGTGTAACTCTTCAATGACGTCACGACTTATGCGCAATATCTTATCTTCTTATCATAGTATCATGCTATCTACTAATGAACTGCTTGTACTCTTTACTGACCGACTGACTAACTGACTGACTGCTTAATGAATTCTCATACTAACTGTCCCCTATCCTCCAAGTTCCAGAGTATTTATATCATTTCATTGTTTCAGAATCATCTTGAACGCAATCATATTCGAATCCTTCTATTTCCTAGATATATGAATGTTCTCGAACATTCTACTACGCAAATAAGGTTAACTTCCTTATATTGACGTCTTCTTTGAATGTTCCAGATAATTGTTAACTTTTCTATGGGGAATTTTATGGACATTTAGGCGTTTCAGATCAGAATGTAAACTTATTTGTAAATTAAACATCTTAAATTAATAAATAACACTATTTTAAATCCGTAATTATCATTTTAAATGTCTACTTTCTGTTCAAATTCACTCTTATTTACAAATGTCATAATACAGTGTATATTTGGTTGACCATGCACATGGTGCACCCAAATACATCTATAATAATGATAATTATTTAAAAAAAGTTTTTAAATTTATTATTATGCTAATTTCTTAATTCATTTATATTATATTATAATATATATATATATATATATATATATATATATATATATATTCATTTTCGTTTTATGGTATGTAAAGACTTTTAATGAAGAAATGCTTACGACTCGCTTTAATTGTTTAAACGACCATCTAGTGATACAAGGGACATGCGAGTGATAAGGAATCTATACTACAAACAAGAAGCTACAGTACGAATTAACAGCTCGATATCAGATAGAATACAGATCAAAAGAGGTGTTCTGCAGGGCTGTGTGTTGTCTCCAACCTTGTTCAATATCTACGCGGAAGAAGTTATTAAAAAAGCTCTTACGAACGAAAAAGCCGGAATAAAGATCAACGGTCACCCCATTTGCAATATCCTATATGCTGATGATACCGCGCTCATAGCAGAAAATATTGACGACCTACAGAGATTACTAAACAAAGTGGTAGAAGCAAGTGAAGAATTTGGTCTGTCACTGAATACAAAGAAGACCAAATTCATGATAATTACAAAGAAACGTATCAATAATATCAACTTACATGTAGGACAGAATCTCATTGAACGAGTACAAAATTACAATTACCTCGGAACAAATATTAACGAGTCAAACGAATACACCAGAGAAATAAGAATAAGAATAGAGAAAGCCCGCAGTGCATTTAACAATATGAAACAAATGTTGTGTAGCCGTAACCTAAGCCTAAAGCTGAAAATACGAATGCTTAAATGTTATGTTTTCTCGGTCCTGTTATATGGGGTGGAGGCGTGGACACTAAATAAGCAATGTATGGGTAAGCTGGAGGCATTTGAGATGTGGGCGTACCGAAGAATGTTAAAAATCTCCTGGAAGGATAAGATAACTAACCAAGTTGTATTAGACAGGATGAACAAACAAAAGGAGGTCGTATTGAGTGTTAAAATGAGGAAACTACAGTACCTGGGACATATTACACGTGGGAATAAATATCAACTGTTGCAACTAATTATGCAAGGAAAGATTGAAGGTAGGCGCAGCATAGGTAGGAGAAGAATGTCATGGTTGAGAAACCTCAGGGAGTGGTTTGCTTGCACTTCCATACAATTGTTCCGAGCGGCAGCCTCCAGGGTCAAAATTGCCATGGTGATAGCCAACCTTCGTAGCGGAGATGGCACGTGAAGAAGAAGAAGTGATTCGAACACATTTTTGAATTAATATTGAGATGTGCTGTACTTTGTACTATCAAGGTCAAGAGGACAGAATATAGCAATTTCGTTCCTACAATACCTCGTACCAGTAGTCTTCCAATTCATTTCATTCCTTTATAATTAAATTTGTTTTAGGACAGAAAAAGAAATTTCTGCAAATAAGTCCGAAGAAATGGTTTTTATGCAGCGGTTTCGAGGGACAAGTACATGAGTTTTACAATTTCGCTGTAAGGCCAAGCGATGTATTTATTATAACGTTTCCTAGGTCAGGTAAGTAAAAGAGCCACATACTCTAAGGCTAGTTGCAGTTTTCCTACGGCAATCTGGTGGTTTTGTTGTATTTGCAGAAATAGTTAACTACCGTACAAATTTGATTCATTGATTTGCTGATAATAGAACATAACTTCGTAATTTACTTTCAGGTACATTAATTAATTACTTTCAGGTACAACCTGGACTCAGGAAATAGTATGGCTTCTAACTAATAATTTAGATTATAAGAAAGCAAGTGAGCTGAGTTTAAGAGAAAGGTTTCCATTTTTTGAGTAAGTATTTTATTTTTATTACTTTAAAAGTTCTAGTTTCTTAAAATGATTATTAGAAAAGTGTTTCCAAAATGTAGAAGGGCAAAAGTAATTCGTACGGAACTGTACTGATACTTTTATATAAATGTATATCTATGTTTTCCATGGGATTAAACACCTGGATGTTTTTTTAAGACTATGGCGATTTGAATTACGAAAATATATTCATACGCTTGGACAATTTAATTATTTTTGGCAATAGTTTTGAACAAAACAACTAAAACTTAAGAAGGAGAATACTAGAAATACTAAGAAAAAATTTGCTTTTTTTTTGAAAAAGAAAAATAAATAATTCCCAGATTTATCAGAGCACAACAAGATTATTTGGAAGTGCTCTATACCATTCCTAATACTTTATTTTACTGAAATTGGAAATACCGAATGGATGATGATTTGTGACCATATTGTGCCTCAGTTATTGATGTAGGTGGCGTTCAAGCATTACGTAATGCAATTTTTGAAGATTTTTAACTTCTCCTCCCCCCATGTAACGTAACTTAATGTTTTTCTGTACCCCCTCCCTACCTTAACGATACGTAACAGACAAGACGTAATAATAAATAAAACAAGAGATTTCTAACTCTCAACAATCAAGATAACAGTGTCATCATTGCGACCGAAGGTATTTATATCGGCTTTGGCGTCAAGAGTTTGAAAGACTATTACAAGAGAGGACTTTCGATGAAATTGGTTAAGAAGAATGACGATCTAATAATAAACCTTTTTGACGCAATCCTAATAATTAGTAAGTCTTGGGAGGTGATGAGCAAAACGATAAAACATTCCTTCAAACATGCAGGATAACTAGAAGATCAAGGATCGACTGAGGATGAAGACGACCTACCATTAGCTGTATGGGCCAGTCAGTTTGAACTTCCTATCACCTACGGACCGGAAGAGCTAACAGATTTCGAAGAAGTTGATTAAAATATTGTAGCTAGAACATCTGAACTTTCATCAAGGGGGACATCCTACAAGCAATTCGTGTATAAGAAGAAGAAGACGAAAACAGTGACACGGAAGTGAAAGCAGAGCCAGAACCAGCTCCGACCCATCAGCTGCATTGGATGCGGCAAAAGTACTTCATCGGTTTTTCGTCCACCAGGAAGACGATATGAGTGCTATGGGTGATATGAGTGCTATGAGTGGAAGATTCTATGCATCTTCAGGACAAAGAAAACAGACCAAGGTGACAGATTTTTCGTTAATGTGGGCTAAATATAGACTGTAATATGTAGCGGGAAAACGATCCCAATACACCAGTCTTCTGGGATTTGTTCCTCATTCCAGGCTCTCAGTATGATTTTATATATATGGTTAGTCAGAGTAGCACCTCCCCATTTAATAAGTTCCGCGGGTATACCATCACTTCCTGGGGATTTATTATTTTTTAGGTGCTTTATTGCATCCCCTACTTCTTGAATTGATAGAGGCTCCAATGGTGTCTTGCTGTTGGCCCCTGGGGGTGGGTGAATTGGATCTTCTACTTCGATAGTAAGTAGTTCTTTATAGTGTTCCACCCACCTTTTCAATACTTCTTCTTTTGTATTGAGTATATGCCCCTCCTTATCCTTACATGGTCTGATCCTTGGTTTAAATTATTATCTTGCATTATTTGGATTTTTATAGAATTTTCTGGTTTAATTTTTCTTTTTTAATGCCTCCAGTTCTGTCAATATTCTATTTTCATAAGATCGCTAATTTTTTTTATACCTTGATAAAAATAGTGTACAGTACCATATTAATTTGGTACTGTATAGTACACATTTTTCAATTGTACGGTCACTTTTTTATATTGTATTGTTTATATCATTCTTTAATAAATCTATGTTGTGTACAATATTATACAGTGTTAATTCATTTATAATCGTTTTGATAAATTTTTAAGTTACAATAGCTAACGATTTTTGTCTCCCTCTGTATAACGATCTCTCATTATAACGATGAAAATTCCAGATCCCTTGCATATCGTTATATAGAGAGAGGACTCTACATAGATGTTTATTATGCTTTTTTTAGATTTGGTTGCATTGTAAATCCTGAAATAAAAGCGACGTTTTTAGAAGAAAATCAACATGACCAGGAAAAGTATCAAATACTTCAAAACATAGACCGTCAAATATTAGAAGATTTAGACAATATGAAAGAAAGAAGATTTATCAAAACTCACCTTCCTTTTAGTCTGCTACCACCTAATTTATTGGACGTAGGATGTAAGGTAATATATATATTTTAAATTTGGTTTAAACGGAATGCTGTGTTGAGAAATGTAATAAAATATTCTCCCAATATTTGAAGTCGAAGACAAGCGAAAATACGTGTTTAACTAATAATATATTTTACATTCATTAAGCGAAATATACAATTTATCATCATCTTTGGCTCTACAATCCTGGGTGGGTCCGGCCTGTTCAAGAATTAGTCTCCATTCCCCCTATCCTTCGCCCTGTCTTTCCAATTTCTGACCCCTATATTCCTCAAGTCATCTTCGACTTGAATTTTGAATCTAGATCTTGGCCTGCCTCTCTTCCTGGTTTCTACTGGCTCTTGATAAAATATCTGTCTTTGGGGATCTCCAGTGTCCATTATTTGGTAAAACAATCAAGTTTTACTATTTTTAAAACAAATTTTAAAAATTTTATGATGTATTATGTCCATAATTGTATATTTTAATGTGTGGTATAAATGTTGAGTATCAATGCTTATAAAAATAATCTCAACGACTAGTAAGTTACACTGAAGAATTGTGATATTTTTTAAATATTTACATTTTTGTCTTATTACAGTGTCTTGAAAAAGGAATAAAACCATTCCGAAAGCTCGACAAAAAGTCAAAAGAGTGTTTTTTTAACATCCCGGCCAATATTCTCACTGCAACCCTAATAAACTGTGTTGTTTAATATATATATATATATATATATATATATAATATATATATATATATATATATATAAAAATTGATGAGCCCAGTTTTAGTTTTACCGAAAGCTTTTGGTTTATTACGTAATACTATATAATATAATATATAAAAACTTGGAATATTCATTGAATTATAATTTCGTATAGTTAAATATTCCTATATCTACCTAATTGCATAATAAGTAAAAAAAATGTGTAACTAAAAAAAGAGCTAAAATATATAGATAAAATAAAGTGGAAGTATTAAAGTGGAAATTTAAAATTTTATTTTTCGCTAAACTTTCATGTTTGTGAATATTTATGCACAAAAATTTACAACTGGTTACTACTAAAAATCAGCAATTATAATTTGATGCCTACTTTAATGTAGCTGATAGAGCAATGTATGCCACATATTCCACATATGTGGCATATATTTGCATTTAACTTTTTTGCTCTTCAAGTTGTCGCCATTTGTGATAAAAAATATTAAAGATACATTATTTTAACAAAAGAAAGGTATACCTATTAATAACTTCAAAACTCAACAGTTTTCGAGATAATTGCATTTTACAAATCAACTGTATAATTCTGATTTACCGCAATTACTCCAGGCAACGAAAGAAAAATAGACAAAAATATCAATACTTTTATATTTTGTTATTAAATACCTTTAATAAAGTTAATAGTTAACGAAATATTATATAAAATAAATATATCAACAGGATAATAGGATTTGACAAAATAACAGAATAATGATTTTACATCAAATATTCTATGTTGTGTATTAAATTAAAGTCATAATCAAAACAGTTTATTTACAAACCAAATTAAAAAATAGTTAAACTAAATATCATTAACTTTTTATCAAAGTAAGTATTCAATATGTCCACCATTTTCTTTAATTCATTTGTCAATACATTCTATAAATTATCGTCTCATATTAAATAGCATCATTGGTTCTATAGAAACTGCTACAGTATTTATTATAAGTATTACAAGTATCAAAATAAGTATTAGTTTGGGATTTTTATGAATTAAATATTTATATTAATATCTCACCGCAAGATTAAGGAATGTGACTACCACAAACAATCCAACGTTTAGGAAAGTTGTCTTTAAGTATGTTCTCACTGCCCTCTCTCTATAATGTGGTGATGTACCATCTTGCATAAACCACATATTTCGCCTTAAGTTTGATGACAATCCTTCCAATATATCAATAAACTCATTTTATAAAAAATGTAAAAAAAATCTCACCATTCGAATTACAAGAAAATTCGCATGTCCGTAAAAAATAATTACTGATGGTTCCAAACCATACGTTTATTTAAAATTCATTTTTAAAATCCATGTCGTGGTAAAGAAAATGGTGGACATATCAAATACTTACTTTGACAAAAAGTTTAATGTTATTTAGTTTACCTATTTCTTAATTTGGTTTTCAAATAAAATGTTTTGATTATGATTTTAATTTAATAAAAAACGTAAATTGTATGATGTATTATCAAAGGTATTATTAAATTTTATTAAAGGTATTTTATACCAAAATTCAGAAGTATTGATGTTTTTCTCTAATTTCTTTCGTTGCCTAGAGTAATTGCGTTAAATCAGAATTATGCAGTTGATTTGTAAAATGCGATTATCTCGAAAACTATTGAGTTTTGAAGTTTTTTAATTTTTTTTTGTTAAAATAATTAGTCTTTATTATTTTTTATCACAAATACCGGTAACTTAAACAGCAAAAAAGTTAAGTGCAAATATATGCCACATATATGGCATATGTGG